CCCTGGGTCCAGCCCTGGCCCATCCCGCAGATTTCGAACTTAGCTTTGCCTCCACCATTGCGAGACCCAGTGCCTTGCAATCAACCTGCGGAGCGCTCCGACTAAGCCACTTAACACAGGAAACGGGCAGTGTTTCCAGACTGAGGACGTTAAGGTTGAAAGAGCTTCAATACCAAGTGCTGAACAGGATAAATTTCACAACCACCACAAAACCCACATCTCTGTACAGTCGCTGATTTATCAGCCACTATTTACCGAGCATGTATCGCCAGGCACTGTTCTAGGGGACTCAGTGAGGGAGCACACATGTAATGCGCATGCATAATGTATGTGTGTAATGTAATAAATACGCGTGTTACATGTACATGATATAAATGCAGGTGTAGATAAGAGCTATGAGGGAAAAGTAAATCAGAGAAAGGAATGTCAGAGGAGCTGTTTGTTTTTTTCTTTATTGATGTTAGAGAGAGAGGAAGGGAGAGGGAGAGATTGAAACACTGATGAGAGAGAACATCATTGGCCGCCTCCTGCATGCTCCCCACTGGGGATCAGGCCCACAACCTGGGCATGTGCCCTGGCAGGAATTGAACCAGCGACCTCTTGGTACATGGGTCAATGCTCAACCACTGAGCCTCACCGGCTGGGCAGGAGCTGTTTTTTTTAAAGGGTTGAGGAAAGTTTCTGAAGAGGTGGCATCTAAGCAGGAACAAGCCAAGTAAAGATATAATCAATATAATAAAACTGCCAAACATAGAGAACAAAGAGAAAAATCTTACAAGCAAGCAGAGAGCAAAGACCCAACGCCCATAAAAGAATGGCCATTAGATCTACAGCAGCCTTTTCAGGACTAAAAATAAATGGTAGGAACCCTTCCCCAGGAAAAGCATTGTTCGGGGGTGAAGGGAAATAGACCCTGGCACACACAGGCGGGGGAGTGTGAACTCTCAGACAGCCTGGCTGAAAGAACCACTGCCTGATGTATGCTTCCGGAAGAAGCCATGCTGACCCCATTGTCAAAGCATGTCGGATTGATCGTCGAAATAATAAGCTCATTCTTCCTGTGTTTTAAAACTCTTATATCTCATATATTAGGTAAACATATGGAAGATGAGACGTGGGGAGGGGGGTTGGGGGAAAGGTAAAGTGTCGAAGGTCCTTGTCTTGGTCAGGAAGAGGCTAGAGATTCTGATGAAATGTAGAAAAATCCGTGGCTGCTCGTCCTTCTCCTGGCCTGGATTGCGCCGAACCTCCTCCACCAGTCTTCCCTAATTACCCCGCACTCTTTCATTTATCTTTGGAAGTCCTCCAGGGCTACATCCTGTCCGTGCAATTTAGCACTTAACTACATGGTGTCACTTGTCGGCAAAGTGAGGAATGCTAGGGCTCTCACATCCCCCGTGCTGAACGGGCAGGGAGGCACTGAGGACGGATTGTGGCTGAGGCTTCTGCCGTGGCACTAACTAGCTTTGTAAGCTTGGACGTGTTATAACCGCTCTAGGTTTCAGTTTTCTCTTTGTCTGTCCAACGAGATGATATGGTGCGATGGCTCCCCAGATTTGAATCTACGCTGGGTTCTTCCACTCCTGTCCCGTGTTTCCCGGGGAAGAACTGTCCAGAAAGATCATCATGTGAGTCAGTGAGATGGCAGAGCGGTGGGCAATGTATTAATAGCTCCCCTTTTTCCTCTCCCCTCATCTCCTCTTCAGTTAGAGGGTCTCATTCCTCTTCCCCATCAGACTCTCAGCCAGCCTTGCTTGAGGACTGTTCCGTTTTATGGCCCGAAGTGGATGCCACTGACCAAGCTGGGGCCAAGGGAGCTTGTAGTCATCAAGGCCTTTCCTTCTGCTGGTGCGCGGGGCTTTTTATTCACTGTTTCTAATCAATTCTTTCCTTTGTTGCATACTCTGTCCTCCTGTCCCCTAGTCAAGGACTTTCTCCCTGGATTTGGAACCAATGGCTTAATCTAGCCTTTGACACCTGCCTGACCCACTGAGGCTAACTTGTACCCTGCATTTCTGCCCCAATGTTCTACCTTCAGATGCTTGCTTTTGCCCCAGCCAACACCTCTCTGGGTCTGGGTTACTTGCTCCTGTGCTTCTCCTTCATCAGAGGTTGTCAGTTCTTTCTTATCTCTTAGATCCCGAATGCTCACTCATTGTGCATAATAGTATGAGACAGTAAAAAGCATATCATTCTCACAAGTCAAGCTTTCAGAAACGATGTGAGATGTTGCAAACTGCTTAAAAGTACATGAGGTACATCTCTCTACCAGTCTGCTCTCTTCCGGGAGTTTTCTGTCTAGACTCAAGGTCAGGTGTTAACGAGGTCAGAGGGGCGGTGCTGTGATTGAGAGCAATCACCAGTCTCCTCCTCACAGATGTCACATCATTGATTTGATTCTAGCCCTCCCCCTGAACTCCCTTTGCTACATCCCCACCCCCAGGCTTCCAATGAGAAACAGCGGTAATCTTTTCTCATTTAACACAGCTTCTGATGCTCTGATTTATATTCCCAAGTGAGAGTTACCTTCAGCAAGAGGCAGCATGTGAATTACATATTGCTGTGGAACTCATGAACACAAACATAGTAATTTACAGTACGCGCTGGTTATCTTGTGGTTTCTGTGGGTCAGGAGTTCAGGCCTGGAGTAGCTGGGTCCTCTGCTTCAGGAACTCTCACAAGGTGTGCGGGCCAGGGCTTCAGTCTCATCTGAAAACTTGACTGGGGAAGGACTCACCTCCAAGCTCATGTAGAGTCAGGAAAAGTCAGTTCCTGGAGGGTTGTTGGACTGATGGCCTCCATTCCTTGCTGGTGGTTGGCCAGAGGCTATTCTCAGTTTCTTATGTGATGCAATCCTGGAAGCAACATCTCGTCACCGTTGCCATGTTCTAGTGGGTGCATCGAGTCACAGGTCCAGTCCACATTCACAGGGAAGAGGTTACACAAGGACATGAACACCTGGAGGCAAGGACCATGGGGGCCCATGTTAAAATCTGTCCACCACAGGCAGTAAAATATAGACATGGATGTTGGAGTTGTCTGCCTGCTTTCAGATTTCAGCTCCATCATTTAGTCTCTGTGCTTCTTTGTGTCTCCATTTCTTAATTTGTATAAGGATAATTATAGTACCTACCTCACATTAGTTGTTATATTTAAAGTGCTCAGAACAGCCTGGCATATAGTAGTGCCAAGTGCCTTTAGCTGTCATCACGCTTCCTTTTTGCTGATGTTACTTCTAGAGAGGCGGGACAGCGCAGGGCAAAGCCTACTGTCTCTCTGAGATGGCATGACAGCCTTGAGCCATGGTGCTTCTCAGTCATTTCCACACGCATAGCCCGTGGACACCGTGGTTTTAGGATAATTATAAATAAGCTGCATGCTACATGTTTGACAAATTGCTTTTATTGATTGATGTTGGCTTCCTCAAGGGAAGGCGGGATGCCCCAAATAGTAAGGAAAGTGGTTGGAGCCAACAATTCAGACAGAAGAGTCCACGGGGACCATTTGATACTGTACAAAGTGGTTTCATCTTTAGGAACAGTTAAGATCAGGCCATCAAAAATTTATGGGCCTTTAGCAGGAATTGTTGTCCTTCAGCTAGCTTGTGGAGTGCCTTGTAAGAGCTCTGGATGAAACTATTGCTTGTGGAAAGGGTTCCGAATAGAAGATGGTCTTCAAAGATAACTAAACTTGGTCATTGAAAGAGGAGATGGAATTGGCCCAGTGGCTGTCTCCAGGTGGGAATTGTAAGACCTTTGTTTACAAAAGTGATGTGGCATGTTAGGAAGAGAAGGAGGTTTAGAATAAACCCAGAACAAAAATTATCTCTCACCGAGTTAAGAAATGGTAACGATGGAGGTTTTAGAATTTAAGAGCAAACTAAGTTGGAATAATCATTGCGATTCACTATTTTCAGGAAGTTTGGCAAAAGACAGCTTTTTGTCTAATATCGCAGCAGTAGTGATATCGCAGCACCTGTCAGTAGGATAAATGGCAGAAGAACAGAGCCGAGCTAGCGCACATTGAGTGCTCAGAGTTAAGTGCATCCATTAGGATTGCATTTAGCTGCAATTAACAGAGCCCCTAACTGACAGGACTTACACAAGTAAGGGGCCTATTTGCCACATTTATTTGTCATATGCAACAAAAGGCCTAGGGGTAGATGATACTGGACAAGTAAAGCAATTCCAAATGTCATCAAGGACCCAGTTCTATTTATCTTCCTCCTTTCCATCCTTAGCAAGTGGCTTTCGTTTCGGTGGTCTCCAGAGGGCTGCTGCAGCCCTAGGTGTTATCCCTGTTTAAGGAAAGGAAAGGAGGGAGGAAGAGGGCTGAAGGACATGGGTTAGGAGCAGTGCTAGCTGAATCTGTCCCTTTATAAACCTTCCCTGTAAGCTCTGCCCAGTTTTTCTTTTACCTATTGGCTGGAACTGTGTTGCCACTTTTAGCCACAAGCGAGCCTAGGCAATGAAATGTTTTATCTTTCCAGTCTCTGCAGTAGAGGGAAGCAAGGGGAAACGGGTTGGGCATGGTTTTGGAAGTCCAGTCCATAGAACCTGCCATAGCAATGTCCGAAATTCCATGCATCTCTTGTCATTCCTGTTTGAATATCTCTGGCTGGGCTTTCAAACGTTTTCCTTTATCTATGAGCAGGATGCCAGTTGGAAATGTGTTAATTTTTTAAATTAATTAATTAATTTTTAAATGTTTTTATTGATTTTTTTTTTTTAGAGAGAGAGGAAGGGAGAGAAAGAAACATTGATGTGAAAGAGAAACATCCCTCACCTCCTGCACGCCCCCTACTGGGGATCGAGCCCACAACCGCAGCACGTGCCCTGGCCCGGAATCGAACCAGGACCTCCCAGTCCATGGGACAATGATCAAGCCACTGAAACACACAAGCTGAGCAAGTTGGAAATGTTTCTGTGGGGGTATCAGAGAATTGGGTAATTGGATGCTAATAATTAACCAGAATATGTGTGATAAAGAAAGACTTCCTCATATTTACCTGGCAGAGGAGATTACACAGTCAGGAAGGTGGTTTTCCCAGGGCAAGGTTTATCCATTGCACTCAGGGAATGCTGACCCCTGCGATCCCCCCAAATGTGGGAAAGTCCACTGCACAATCTGTGGTGGTGGGAGGCTGCGTTCACAGTGTGCGGGGTGGGGGGCTGCGTTCGCAGTGAGCGGAGGTGGTGGGGGGCTGATTCGCAGTGCGCAGGGGTGGGGGGCTGCGTTCGCAGTGCGCGGGTTGGTGGGGGGCTGCGTTCGCAGTGAGCGGAGGTGGTGGGGGGCTGCGTTCGCAGTGCGCGGGGGTGGGGGGCTGCGTTCGCAGTGCGCGGGTTGGTGGGGGGCTGCGTTCGCAGTGCGCGGAGGTGGTGGGGGGCTGCGTTCGCAGTGAGCGGAGGTGGTGGGGGGCTGCGTTCGCAGTGCGCGGGTTGGTGGGGGGCTGCGTTCGCAGTGTGCGGGGTGGGGAGCTGCGTTCGCAGTGTGCGGGAGTGGGGGGGCTGCGTTCGCAGTGTGCGGGGGTGGGGGGTGTGTTCACACTGTCCTCTGAAAAAAGAAAGACTATATCTGGTCACATCCATCTCAATGGCTGCAAAGGAAGTCCTACCTCTAACCCTGGGTTTAATTCCTTGACCAATAAAACTTGTAGTAATTTGTGCCTTACTGTCTAGTGGTCAAGAGGAATGAGCAGAAGTATTGTCCTGCCCACAAGAGCCTGTCCTTGTACCGTGAAGGTCGTGCCTTGGATTTTTTTTTTTTTTTTCCCTAGAAAACCTGCCTGCGTCTAAATGGCAGATGGCAGTGCTGAACCGATACCGCGGGGCCAGCGCACTGTCCTCTCCTCTCTGACTCGCTATGTCCCAGGTCCAGGGCCTCGGCTAAGGAAGCAGCCCGGCCCGCGTGGCACTGAGAGTCTGCCCGCTGCAGTGCTGCTGCTTGGTTTCCAGTGGAAGGCGAGGTGCGCTCGTCAGCCCAGCGTAAATACCGCGCTTGGTGTCCCAGGCAGGGGCCTGCTCGGCTGTCTGTATCATCACCATGTTGTCTGTCATACCTGGGGAGCATTTGCTAACTCACTTTGACCTTGGTGTTCTCATTTTGCCTAATCAAGGTAAATTGCATGGATCTCTTCTTGATGCTGAGATGGGAGGACAGAGAAAAGAGGCAGGGATCCTGCCGTCCTCTGGAGGGGCATGTGACAGAGGGCATGGGTCACCCAAGCATGTCAGAGCCACTTGGTGGTGGCGGGAGGGAAGAGGGGTTGGATGGGAGGGAGAACTACGTCCATAAAGATTCAATAAACACTCTGGCCTGATTCCCACTTAGGGAGATGCCAAGTCCTTGAGGAAAATACTTAGCTGATCACTAAACAAGCTTGCAGAGTGTGTGAATGAGACTGAGACCAAGTGTCCACTCAACATTTGGGTCAAATCACTTGGACACTTCATTGACAAGAAAAAAAAAAAAAAGCTCAACTGAATCTGTCCTATACAGGGAAGGAGATATTTTTGAAAAAAATTTATTTTTTTAAAAAACACTCTTGAAAACAATAGTATTACTTCTCTTGTCCCACGCAACCTCTGGGAACTCTAATCTTTTGAACACCATTGATTTCCTCCTGTTCGATGTGGCAGGGCACGCTTTCTCACGAGTCAGCGAGAACGCGTTCTTCCAGTGGCAACAATCTCCATCACATTAACATTCATGAGATGAGCCTGTGTCCCACTTGTTTTTTAATAAAAGAAATAGGATCTGGGGATATTATTCAGTCGGAGAAGCCCATCACCCTGGGACAACATTCCAATTGCATTTCATTAAAAGCACTAGCAATGGGAAAGGAAGTAGCAATAATAAAAAATTGTTGCTTTTAGGCAAAAACTAGAGAATGCTTGTGAATATCCTCACTTGGCTGTTTAATCAAGAGCAGCAGCAGGCGCTGCAGGCAGCTGGAGCCGCGGCCCACAAGGAGCGCAGTGATGACTCGGCTGAAATCGCCCTCGCAGGGAGGAGGCGACTCTGCTGTAGAGTCTTTCAGGGCTTCTGCTCCACCCCTAGGAAGGCCCACCTCCAGTAACACACCACCACTCCCTGTTCTCTTCCTTCTGGGGATAGAAAATGAGCATTTCACTAGTGTCGTAGGGCCCAGTTGTCTTCTGCTGTCATTTCTTAAATTCTCACTGTCAGCCCAAGAGGAAGGGACCACAACCTCTTTTATAAATTGATTTCGTTATGCATTGCCCGAGGTTATAATCCTAGTAACTTGGGAAACAAGGGTCCACATCAGATCCCTGTAAGTCAGAGTGGTAGAGAGAGTGACGTGGACAGTGTTGTAGAGGCTGGGCTAAAAACAAGGGCAGCGCCCGGTCAGTGTGGCTCAGTGGACTGAGCATCGTCCTATGGATGGGAGGTCCTGGTTCCATCACATGCCTCAGTTCCACTCAATCCCCAGTAGAGGGCGTGCAGGAGGCAGCGGTCGATGTTTCCCTCTCACATCAATGTTTCTCTCTCTCTCTCTAAAAAAAAAAAAAAAATCAATAAAATATATTTTAAAAAAAACGAACAAAAAACGAAAGCAGGCAGGGAATGCATCAGGGATTCGTGTGAGGGATGGCACCATGGTGGCCAATTGGCTGGCAGCTCATGTGGAGACAGAAGAATGGTGATCAAGGTCGTGAAATAGACCTAGGCTTGTTCTCCTCTTCCTGAAGGCTTATTGTCATCCCTTTAATTTTTACCCTCATGAGCATTTTCACTGAGTCTTGCTCCCTGAAGTGGAGTTTAAACATGAAGAATAAGCCCTCTGCAAAGGTGTTCTTTAGCCAGACTGTGTGTACAAGGGAAAATGCGATGACCCATTGGTTCTGCATTCCCAGATTACCTCCTTGGCTATGCCCACAGGTGCCCCTACGTCATGGCCACGTGTTGGTAAGGAGTCATCGTCTTAGTTGGCTCAGGCTACCACAACAAAATATCATAGAACGGGTGGTTTAAACAACACGAGTCTGTGTTCTGGAGGCTAGAAAGTACAAGATCAGGATTCTAGGGGTTTGGTTTCCGGCAAGAGCTCTCTTCCCGATTTGCAGAAGCTGCCTTCTCACTGTGTCCCCACAGGGCAGGGACAGGGAGCAAGCTCTGTAGTGTCTCACCTTATAAAACCACTAGTCCCATCATGAAGGGCCCACCCACATGACCTTCCAAGAGCCCCATCTCCAAATACCATCACATCAGAGATTAGGCTTCAACCTATGCATTTGAGGGGAACGTGAGTCCTTAAGAGTCGGCAACACTATTATCAGGCCTGATGCTTAGGACATGACAAAATCACTCCTCAGGTCCCTGGGTCCATTTAATTATTGTTCGTCTTTCAGTCTCCTGACAGGTGTTTCAACCATCATAAATGTACTTACATAGAGAATGTATATTGAGACATCTTACATTAAGCAGACACTCAGGAAGGACATAAAAAATGCAGGGATTTTTGTTCATTCTGTGAACGAGTTTTTATTGAGAAGAAGCCTTCTTTTTAAGAAGGCTCCTTAACCAAAGAACACATAGTTGCTGCATCATGAATAATTGAAAAGCTTCTCCTCGTGATCAGAGTCAGGAATTTTTCTGTTCTCGGTAATCCGCCTCCCCTGGCAAAGGAAAATCCTAATAAAGGATAATACCAATGTAGTATTTCCAGTTAATATGGAATCTCCATTTCTTTTATGAGTGGTTCAGAAATGACTATCCTTTCTCTTAACTGGGGAGCTGGACAACGTAGAGGGAGCTCCAGTAATGACCTTGGGGTTTTCTTAAAGCTTAGAAGCTTCACAGTGGCCAGTCATATTTGTGGCCATTTTGGGGTATTCTGATATGGTGTCTTAATAATGAGGACATGAATAAGGACAAATGGACACTTAGTTTGGAACATAGTGCTTTCGCTTAATGAAAATTACTGCTTTTTTATTTCTTTGAGAATTCAGAGACCTAGAGTGATCTCCCTGAACGTCCCAGCTAACCTGATGCAGAAAGGAAGATGAGAATTAATGGCGCCCTCACTGGAAGGTTTAAGGTCCAATTAGTTCTCAGGCTGGCTGAGTTTTGTTCAGACATTGGTGGGATTCTGGGAAGGCAGGCAGGCCAAGCAGCCATCGAGAGCTGAGTGAGAATGAAGAGTGCAGAGAAAAGCAACCAACTGGGGTGATTTGTTCCACATTTTGACCCACCTGGCACATAACCATTACCGACTGTTCCTTTGTTAACAGGCTCCAGGAGAAACTTGGAATAGTGGCCCACTTACACCTCTGATTAACTTTCTGTAAATAAATGGATTACAGGGCCATTTGATTTTCAAAAAGAGGTTTATAGAACACAATGGATTATCATGGATAATGGATTAGGAGAAGTGGGATATTAAAAATGAACTTTCGCCTGGCTGGTGTGGCTCAGTGGATTAAGCATCATCCCATGGACTGAGAGGTCCTGGTTTGATTCCCGGTCAGGGCACATGCCTGGGTTGTGGTATCAATTCCTTGTAGGGGGCGTGCAGGAGGCAATCAATAGATGTTTCTCTTTCACATCAATGTTTCTATCTCTCTCTAAAAAATCAATAAGAAAGAAAAGAACTCTCCTCCCTAACCACACAGAGATGGTGCTGAGAGGTGAGATGAGAACTAAGTCGGCCCTGTTATGCCCTTGAATGAAGTGCAGAGACCAGCAGAGTGGACTCAGTCTACCCAAGGGAACCCACTTTTCTCACTCCTGGGAGAAAAATCGAGAGTCTTGTTGGTAAGGCTTTGAAGTGTAACCTCCATGATCTCAAGACAAAGTCTTGGGAAAGTAGCTTCACATATGTAAGTTCAGTGCTGAGAAAGCTCTCTGAGACCAGTGACAGTGGTCTACCAGAGGGTTACCTCTGCCCATGAGTCTCTGTGACAAAATATCAACCTGCGGAGCAGAGCTCCATATAGGGGGCTGCCTGGGCTGCTTCCTCCACCTCCACTCCAGTCTCACCCTTTCTGACGTCATACCTGCTCTGCTTCTCCAGCTGGGAGAAACAAACAGTTGATGATGAAATGTTATACAACAAGGACATTGGGGGGGGGGGGGGGAGAAAGGAGGCATCTCTCTCTCTCTCTCTGTCTGTCTATACACACACACACACACACACTA